TATATATATATATATATATATATATATATACATATATATATTGCAAGTCCATTTAGTGTGTATGATCTTCTTGTTTTTCTGAAAATGTTTGCATTGAAAAATCTGATAAATATGCGTTGAAAAAGCAGGTGGGTCATTAAAATATTACTATAGTTAAAAGAAGGGGAAACAATGTGTTGTTGCGAGGCCTTAGGGTGGGAGTACTAATTGTCATTCTTGTAAAGTGCATTACTTGTGTGCATGTTTGTTGTTATTTTTCATTTTAACCCCCCCCCCACATTGCTGGATATTACATTTTATCAAGGAATTATAAGAAAAACTTTTATTTTTCTTTAAATATTGGTTTAATTATTATTCAACATCTCATTCACCATTTTGTATTGTAATATTTGCTAGTTTTCATATACCTGAGTTCTGAATTTAACTTCTAAAGTAAAAATAGAAGAAAAAAAACGGGATTTTTTCTTTAAATGTGCACCGATTTTAACCGGGATTAAAATATGTATAGCTCTTTTGTAAAAAAAAAATACAGAAATATTATTTTCCATTTTTGCAGTGTAGTTTTCTTGTTTATTTCAAAGAGTGTGTCAACTGCAAGCTTTCTCAAACTTGGAATGCTATCTTCATTATGACCTCTTAATAGATTTCACATTTGAACTGAAATTTCCCGTGGTGGTAATATTTATGTGTATGTTGTCGAATGCGCATCGATTTGTATTTGAAAAGAACGCTATCATTTTATTTGGACACATGCTGTGGTTGTTTTGATCGTTTAGTGGTTTTGATAGTTTTGTGGTTTTGATAGCTTTATGGTTTTGATAGTTTTGTGGTTTTGATAGTTTTGTGGTTTTGATAGCTTTATGGTTTTGATAGTTTTGTGGTTTTGATCGTTTTGTGGTTTTGATAGCTTTATGGTTTTGATAGTTTTGTGGCTTTGATAGTTTTGTGGTTTTGATAGCTTTATGGTTTTGATAGTTTTGTGGTTTTGATAGTTTTGTGGTTTTGATAGCTTTATGGTTTTGATAGTTTTATGGCTTTGATAGTTTTGTGGTTTTGATAGCTTTATGGTTTTGATAGTTTTGTGGTTTTGATAGCTTTATGGTTTTGATAGTTTTGTGGTTTTGAAAATTTGTATTATTTTTGTATGGATTTAATGTTGAAAAAAATGTTTGTCAAGAAATTGTTTTTGATTTATGTTTGGATATACTTCCTGTAACTTTTACAATTGTTTTAACTATTAGAAAATTTAAAAAGTGTGTTTTCATGTCCATGTTTCACAACTTGATTTTTAAAACTTTTTTCAGTACAAAACAATTTTTTGGAATTTAAATCGCTTAGATGAAATCATCCAACGAAATGATTCTATTAAACTGTTCAAAATTAATGATGATCATTTGGAGCTTATTTATTCTCAACTATAAGCAAGGTAAGATTTTAAAAGACTATTTGAATCAGTGGTAATGGTGGAACTGATCATTGAATTAATGATAGTAATGGAATGAATCTTTATTTGGATGATATTACTGGAATTGATAATTTAATAAATGATGTGAGTAGAATTGATCTTTGAATCAATACTTTGGTTTAATCCAAGAGTCTCAAACTCGCGTACCGCGGGCCATCTGCGGTCCGCAAGACTATATTTTGCTGCTGGCGACATGAAAGCAAATGTAGTGTTAATGCGGTCCGCACGGTTTTCCTCATTATTATATTTATAATGTAACCCTCCGCGACGATTTCAGTCGAAACTCAACTTCTAGTCTAATTCTAATTTTTATTATTTTTGTATAGATTTGGACGTTGATTATAATTGTAAAAACCTTTTTAAAAATCGGGCTAAAACTTTTTATTTTGTAGCTTTTTATGAGACAAACATTGGCAAAGTTCGGTTTTGAGAAAAAGCACTTTCAGTATTTTATATACAAATTCAACATTTTAAAAAGTCAGTTAGTGGGTCATGCACAACCATAATTGTGTAAATCGTAGCAATCTGACACAGTATCAAAGAAACCCTATTAAAATTGCTGCTAATGTTTCCGAGTGAGGGACATTCCGAAACTGTCAGCTTGGTCACTTGCGCTGTCAGGTCTCTGGCAACAAGCAGTACGAGGAAAAACGGGATGCCTTGCTTTTGAGGACCCTATTTTTACTTTATTCAATTTTTAATCACTTTTTGTGGAATCCTTGATGCGGCCCTGTCTCAGTCAGACTGCCTACTGCGGCCCCCGGCTGATTTGAGTTTGGGACCACTGGTTTAAACAGATGATTGAATTATTACATAAGTGAAAGTGGACTCGACATCAATCGAGAGTTTTAAGGCTGCCATGGCACCCGCTAGGAGCTGTAGGGATAGCCTCATGCTTTCCCAAACCGTTGCATATATTCAAGTACATGGATGCTGGCACATACCCTATCAGATACAGAATCAGAAATCAATAATATCTTTGAATCAATTACATAAGTGGAATATTGATCCTCTGATTTGTGTTTATTTAAACCTTGAAAATATGATATGAATGGAACTTGAATATATGATATGAATGGAACTTGATTATATGATAAGAATGGAACTTGAATATATGATATGAATGGGAATTAAATTTATGATATGGATTGAACTTATATATATGATATGGATGGAACTTGAATATATGATATTTATGGAACTTGAATGTATGATATGAATGGAACTGAACATAGAACCCGCCGTGATGATTAAAACAATGGTAGGTGTGAAACTGATCATTAAATCAATAATATGAGTAGAGCTAATCTTCGAACCGATGATATGAGTGGACCTCAACTTTGAATCAATACTATGATTGGAAATTAATGGAAAATAAATATCAGAAATATAGAAAAGTAATAGTTATATCTTTTAGATATAGTGGTTTAGCTAATTATACGAAGACAAATAGCTATTTGTATGATAAGGTGTCAGTGTTGCTCATTGGGCGTCAGTTTGTGTTCTCTATACTGAGGAGCGAAATTTTTTGGACAATCGCTTATTTTATTAAACGTTTGGCAAGGGTTCTAAACCTTTTTTTTTGGTTCCACCTGATCGAAAGTTACCAACGATAGGCAACTGAAAAGCGGTAAATGTATTTCTTATTAAATTTTAAATGGTGAACATTAGCTTGCAAAAATGAAATGAATGAATGTTTGTCAATCGCAAAATTCCGATTTTTAAAAGTAAGACTTTTTTTTCAGTAATTACGTTAGCTAACCAAGATTGGAAACATTATTTCTAAAAATAATTGATCCCAAAATATTTATATAGGGGCTGGGACGTATTAAAGCATGAATTTTCATGTGCTCAATTGGTCGTATGATGAAATAAGTTATGGCACTTGCATGGAGTGATACATCACAAGATTTATAGTTAGCGACTATTTTGAAGGGTGAAGAAGAACAAAAAAAAATGCATGAAGGCAACCATATTCGAGGGATGAGTTTTTGAGCCTTAAACAATGGGGCGAGGTACGACTTTTGTTATCCTACGATAATGTAATCTCTACTACGTGTGATATACAAATAGTGCATAACATGTGATTTGAATGATTTACTTTATTAAAACTATTCAATGGGAATTATGTCCAGCTATGATAAAGATTAATGTGTAAAAAATAGACTCATTTTATAGTCTAAGAGAGTGTTGTATATGCGTGCATCAAGTGCCTGAAGTAAAGCAACACTAACTTTGGCTACAGAGCTACAAAAGTGTAACAAAATATAACTTTACGAAATCATGTTACGAAAAATCGTCTCAAATATATATTTTTGCCAATCCCGCAGTTCGTGGGTGGGATTGCCCAGTCAAATATGTGTGTGCTGAAGGCAGATATTTTTACGTATGGACCAACAGGAGGGCTACCATGGATAGAGCTCAGGTTTGTAGTTAAGCAATTCAAAAAATTTTCTTTATATAAACAAAAACAAACGTCGGAGAAATTATCACTTATTTACACAACCTACGTATATGTCCAAATTAGAGCATTTAAATCAGTGAAGCTTATTTACTCAAGGCAGAACGCTCGTCTCCGATGGGTCTAGAATTTTCAGACTATGACATTGTGTTCATCTATATTTTACAGAGCATTTTAAAAGCTGGCTTAATCCTCTCCGACAGCATACTCCCAAAAAGCCTACTCCCCGACAACATACTCTCCGACAGCCAACTCTCCGATAGCATCAACTCCGACATCATACTCACTGACTGCATACTCCTCGACAGCATCCTCTCCAATAGCATCATCTCCAAGAGCATATTATACGGCAGCGTACTCTACAACATACTACTCTTCGAAAGCATACTCTCAGACAACATTTTCTCCGACAACATCCTCTTTGACAGCATAGTCTCCAACAGCTTCCTCTCCGACAGAATACTCTCCATCAGGATACTCTCCGACAGCTTAATATCCAACAACATCCTCAACGACTGCATACTCACCGACAGCATACTGCTCGACGGCATCCCTTCCAACAGAATACTATCCGACAGCATATTCTCCGACAGCCTATTCTCCGATAACCTACTCCCCGACGGCATAGTCTCTGACAACCTCCTCTACAACATCATCGTAACCGAAAGAATACTGTCCGAAAGCATCCCATCCTACAACATTCTCACCGACAGCATCCTCTCCGACAACATATTTTCCGACAGCATCCTCTCCAAAAGCATACTCTACTGCGGCATAATCTCCAACAGGTTTTGTTTCTTTTTAGTTACACATAGCTTCTCAGTTAAAACGTATCTAGCTTAAAATCTATACAGTTGAGCCTTGCCATTACCTTACCAGCTATAACAAACCTCAATGAAATTCGAAAATGGAATTCGTAGGTAACGTGGTGGATCTAAATAGTATTTCTGTGTTAACATCTGGGTCGTAGACGAAACAAAAGTAACAAAAGACGATCTAAATGCATGTAAAGGAAAACTATACCAAAGCTAGTGACACTATAATTTTAATTTTGAAAAAAAATATATAAATACATTTCCAAACAAATACTAATTTTGAGAACAGAAGCAATAAAAAAAAAAATAATAATAACGTTTTTAATATAATTCTTTTACTAAAAATAATACCCAGCAATGAAGGTGAGGTTGACAATTTGAAAAAGAACGCGCACACAAGTAAAGCAATGAATACAATTCGTGCTGCCCCAAGTATCGCTGTTAAGCACTGACTTCTCTTGTGAGAAACTGATCTCTTGTTTTTAATTTTATGGCTCGTTCAAACAGTGCCTAACAAAGGACGTTACCATTGAAATACGATAATAAAGATACGACACCCAAAAACAGTTGCCAGTTACAATTAATATGATTTAATTTAGTAATAATACAAAAACAAAACAAAAGAAATATAGTTATAAATCATCAACTTACAGTATGGTAGATCTTGTACCGGTACACAGTTAATACAATGTGCCAATTAATAATGATGTATGCGAAATAAACACATATACGCACACAAATTCACAAAGAATAATACACGCCTCCTAAAGTTAATAATATCTATCTAAATCTCCGTTTCTCCGTATCTGTCACTCCCTTATATACATGTGGATCTAGCGACGCGTAAGCTCTGCCTTCCAGAAGCTACGCAACATTTGTTTACATTTTTAGAACAAATCCAGATCATTCGACACGATACTAGGAGACAGTCTAACCATGTTTAATTGGTAAACAAGACAGATCAAAAGAACTAGCCCCGCCAATCTATGAAGCGAGCGCCTACTTAATAATGTAATTTAGGGTCAAGCAAAATCGTGGAAAGCACGGGGAAATCGTGTAAAGTGTTATACCTAACGATCGCAAAAGCAAATTTTTTTTTTACAACCCTGAATTTTATTAATATTTTTATGACCCACCGGCTTTTACACTGCAGTATTATTTTACAAACTTTTTCAGAAATACAAAAGAAAATTTTACGCAAACAACGCACCTGGGAAATAAATTTAAAAAAAAAAAAAAAAAAAAAAAAAAAAAAAAAAAAAAAAAAAAAAAAAAAAAAAAAAAAAAAAAAAAATTAAAAAAAAAAAACACAAAAAAAAAAAAAAAAAAAAAAAAAAAAAAAAAAAAAAAAAGGCAAAAACCAATGATCACATTTAGCGCAGTTATCGTGAATCATTTTTCGTGTCCTCAAATTTCTTTCATCTTACACTTGACAAACGATAAAAAAACTGAATTTTGGGTTTGAGATTAAAGGGTGGGACATTACATTACATTGGAGAGGATAGTTTGTCGTCAGCAAGAAGCCTACATGTCTAGGGAAAGTTGATCAATTAGACGTCCGAAGATTTTTGCAGCCTCGAGCAAAATCAAAGTGAATATAAAGGATTTTAAAAAAGGTATTGACTTACAGCAGGTGTAGAAAAAGGCACAGTTCTCAAAACAGAAGTATAATTTAATACACACACTAAAATAACATGACGTAGGATTATCATTAGTGTCGCTAGTTCTCTCTGTCGGTAAGTCTATCTGCTAAGACACCTTGCGGGCTTTTATCTAGGAATTGTTTCCCAACAGTCCAGTACATATAACCTAGTTTATTCTAGATATTCTTCTTCCATATATTAAGGGCCCAAGATCAATTTATTGATCATTTTGGCTCCTATGCATGTAGAGGGGATTTGCAATGTTTCTGTGCCTGGTGCTGATGAGGATATTTCAATGAATACAAGTGCTACTTTGTGAAGAAATCATGCAATGGGGGTTGAAAGGCTTGAGGAAACAGACGCAAATGTGTCTAGTGTTGTTACCTCAACTGTTTCTTTTAAAAAGCTTGTTCCAGTCTCTGATTGTCTTGGGCAGGAATGTGTAGTTTCTATACTGGCTTCTTGCTGTTATGAGCCTCGTTGCTGTCTATGGGGGAGAGGGATGAGTTTCTGTTTAATACTGGAGCAGTAGACCAGCCCATTATTTATTTTGTACATCATGGAGAGCCCGGATTGTCGTCGCAACCTATTGTAATTCTTGAGAACAAATGGAACGTTTTGAGTGATAACACAATTCTCTCCAGCCAAGTCAGTGCCGGGCAGGAAAGTATTGACACTGCCTTCAATCGGTGACATGATTTGCAAGATCAAGCCAACCAGACAAGTCTAAAGGATGGTGGCTAAAAATAATGTCGTGTTGAAACCTAAAAACGAGTTCACGTTGTACGAGTCGGTATATAACAGGAATATTCCTTCACATAAGATTTGTTGCTTTAAATATATGAAAGGAAAAGAGTACACCAATATGTATAGTCTGCAAAAATGCCATCGAAATTCCATTCTATTTAGTCCACCTTAAAATGGCCAATAGCTCACTAAATACATCAATTTTCAAAATTCATTTTTTTCCCCATTAAATGTGTATATATAAATGTCATCATCTTACTGTACAAATGTGTAAAAGAATCCAATTTTTAAATTCCAAATCATTTTAGTCTGACATACTTAACAATATTAATGAATGGTTCCCGATAGATTTAACTTTTATGCCATGATTAAAATGAGTTATTTATTATTTTTGTCACCGTTAAAAAGGCTAAAATTACTCGGCTCACAGTAAATATGTATCATTGATAATTATATCAGATATTTTTTTTTAATGACAAATTGCCACTAAACACGCCTTTTTTTCATTTTAAAGAGTCATTGCTTGGAACTAGGACTGCAGCTCCTTAGATTTGAGAGTCTACATCTTTTAAGCAGGGAATTAATTCAGCCAAACTTAACAACAGTAATTCAAGGTTGGATTTATTTTAAGATATGATAAACTCAAATCTTGGGCTAGGGGATTTAAGCAGGTCTGCCCACTTAAAAACAAAAAAAAAACAAATATTCTCCTACATATTTAAATCTCGACGATTTAAAACAAAAATAATTGTAGGTTTTTGAAGCTGTCAGGTTGTTTTTTTTTTGTTCAGATTTATATGACACTATGTTTCTGTCTGTTACTAACCTTGGGATTTGAGCCTATGTTATGCTATTAGTTTATTGTATTGCTTTATGATCAGCTTTGCAATTCTTTTATAAGTGCAGGAATGCACGATGTCTTGTCTTTTTAGTTTCTTTGTCGCTTAATTGATTTAAGATAGTACCAACGAACAGTATTTACTTATTTTTCATTCCAAACATAAAGTTTGATTAAATCTATTAAAATTGAAAAAAAAACCCAACTTAAAATGTAAAAATACTTTTAATAATAAACTGACGTTTTAAGTCAAAGAATGCAGCAAAACGTCAAAGCCAAATAGCATTCACTGGCAAACCCATTACTCATCCAAATAAGAACACAGCATATATGACGTTGCAATTCGTTCATTGTGATATATATCTCCAAAGATCATAATATTTGACATATTTGAACTGTCGTACAATTATTTAACGCTAAAATAAAAAATAAATTATTTCAATATCAGGAATTATGTGTATTATAATTATTTTTTGTATTGTTATTGTTGAAAATATAAAACAAATGGTGGTAAATAGGATTTAGAACTTAAGAATTGTTATATTTTTGTTTTCACTTTGCCAAAATTAAAAGTGACGTATATTTTTATGAGATTAATAACATTTCTTTAATTTAAAAAAAACAAAAAAACAACAACTCAAAGCTTTTTAAGATGGGAAAAAAACTTTTAAGCGATTCTTCTTGAGATAAAATAATTCTTCGTTTCATTTTTTGATTTTTCAACCGTAAAGTAGAAAAACTAACTAACGGTTTGGTTAACTTTTAATGAAGATGTTATAAAATCAAAGTCCATTAACAACTAATGTATTTAAAATGTTACATATGATACTTGCTGTATATTTGAGTTTATGTCTTTAAAATTTATGGAGAAAAAAATGTATTTCAGGGGCATGAAAAGATGTAGGGTTGGTCCAACATTAAATAATTTTAAAGACATCCAAAGTATTTCTCTAGCGTAGAAATCATCCATCAATGAACTCCTTTAGTGATAACAATGATTTAATTACTGATCATTTGGAGTTTGCAGTTTAAATAACTATTTGCTCTAATTTATTACACTATCGTTCAGAAATTTTAAAAAAAAAACATTTTGCATTTTAAATACAAATCTAACAAAAATACAATTTTTGGACTTATTTCACCCAATAAATTCATTGCGCCGTCTGTTTCCATTATTTAAGTGAACAAACTTACACACACAAACCTTGAGTTTTAAACCTGTTTGTGTAATGCGTTGCTAAAATAAAATGCCACCGATCAATTGTGAAATGTGTATTTGTAGTCTATCAAACACGATAAAAACTCTCTTCATTTTGTTAGAAATATTACGTAGACTGTTATAATATATTTTCCCAACAAGAAACTACAACTGTTTGGCTAAATGCCAAGTATGATAGCTATTTCAAAGAACATCGATGGGAAAACACAAATGAAAAGGTCAATATCAACGACCTAAGTAGGGCTGCTGGAGACTGTTTGGTTGCACAACACAACATGACCAGTATAATATCTGCTGATTGCCAAACTGTGAGAAACTTCGTGTGCATGGCGCCTAGTAAGTATTTTTTTCAGATTTACTGTGCTATTCATTGTGTCTAGTATGTTTTAGATAAACCCTGCTATTCATGGCGTCTAGTAAATATATTTTTAGATAACCCTTCTGCTCATTGCGTCTAGTAAGTATGTTTTCAGATAAAC